ACTACAAATAAGTCACGCTTTAAATAGGAAAATTATCTATTTTTTTGGTCATTTTTGAGCAAGTAGCTAATGGTCTAATTCATTTCAATGATTTATGCTAAGCTAGGCTAAAAAACATGCTAACGCCAGACCTGGATAATTTCTATCTGTCTTCATACATGTTGTTAACTACAAAAAAAATCAAGCTTTAAATAGTAAAATTATAGAATCTTTTTGATCATTTTTAAGCTAGATGCTAATGGTCTAATCTAATTCAATTATCTATGCTAAGCTAAGCTAAAAAAAAAAAGTGCTACCACCAGACCTGGATGTTCTCCATCTGTTCTCATATATGATGAAACTACAAAACATTCAAATTTTAAAAAGGAAAATAATTTTATTGTTTTGGTCATTTTTGAACAAGTTGCTAATGGTCTAATCCAATTCAATGATTTATGCTAAGCTAAGCTAAAAACATGCTACCGACAGACCCTGAAATTTTCCATCTGTCTTCATTCATAATGTAAATGCAAAAAAAAAAAAAAAAGTCACGCTTCAAATAGGAAAATTGTCTATTTTTTTTTGGTCATTTTTGAGCAAGTAGCTAAATGGTCTAATCCAATTCAATGATTTAAGCTTAGCTAATACAACATGCTACCGACAGACCCGTAAATTTTCCAATTGTTATTATACATAATGTTAACTACCAAAAAAAAAATCATGCTTTAAATAGGAACATTATCAAATCCTTTTGGTAATTTTTGAGCAAGATGCTAAAGGTCTAATCCAGTGGTTCTCAAACTTTTTTCTCTAAGTACCATCTCAGAAAAAAAAAATTTCTATCCAAGTACCACCATAATGACTAGTATTGAATTACAGTAGCGTAGTAGGCCTAATTAAGCAGCTACAGCTCTGCAGAGTTCAAAAGCGTGGCAGATTTATTCTTATTATTATGAATATTTATTATTGTAAGCCACTTTAAGCATTATAAATAGTTTGAACATTAACACTACTGTGCTTACAGGTAAAAAGATATATAAAATGTTTAAATAAAAATATGCTTTTAAAGTTAATTATTCAGCGATTACCACTAGAAGAAAGCCTGTGTACCACAAGTGGTACACGTACCACAGTTTGAGAACCACTGGTCTAATCAAATTCAATGATCTATGCTAAGCTAAGCTAAAAAATGCTATACCGCCAGACTCGTAAATTTTCCATCTGTTTTACACATAATATAACTACAAAAAAAATCATGCTTTAAATAGTACAGTTATCGAATATTTTTTAAGCATGATCCTAAAGGTCTAATTAAATTCACTGATCTATGCTAAGCTAAGCTAAAAAAAAAAAAAAAAAAAAAAGCTACCGCCAGACCCAGAGGTATATTAAAAATATTAAAACTCAAGTGTTTAACTCTAGGGAAGTAGCAAAAAGTGTGCCTTTAAATTACCTACACTTTTCTATACCTTAGACCACTAACTGCCTAAAATTGCTCTCTTCTCTAATATATTGCACAATTATACACATGCTATAGTTTTGCTGTAGAAAATCGACGCCATTAGCCATGTAGACTGAAGGCCCCAGTCGAAGACGTGAGCAATTCATGCATGAAGAGGGCTTCTCTGGCTTTGAGTTACTTTAATTACAAGGTGAAAGAAGCCTTCATAACAGGAAGCAAGGGGAAAACCCGACCGCTTAAAGGTAAACAGTGACACAAGGCTTGTCTGTTTTATCCTGAGTTAGCTCATGTTCAGAGGGACAAATATTCGCCTTTGCTATAACAGAAACCATCTCTGATACTGGTCAAATCTGGGTAGGGCTACATTTTTATTACTAATAAACTCTGAGCTGCTTAAAATGGTCTATATATGTAGAATTTAGACACCCCTTTACTCTAATGTACATTACAAAGAAATTAAACTAAGAAATGTGAACATTTCAGATTCTATTAATACTGTTTAGAGCAATAAAATGTAAATATTCGCTAAACAAAACGCAATAATACTTGACCTTTTTAAATTTCCATGGGCTATTAACAATGGAGACTGTGTATGGTAAAAATAAACGTACAGAAGCTGTCACAGAGTTAGCACCTTGTCGAAAAGTACACATTTAAACTTACTGGTATCTATATAAGTATCTAATGTGTACATATTAGTGGCTAAAATTACAACTGTTCGGTTTTCAAAATGGTACCACCCCAGTGACAGCTTTTGTACCTTTATTTCTCAGAGTGCGTGACCCCACATACCACAATGTTACATAAAAAGATGCTGTTGGCAGGTCACCATGGAGATCCAAACAATGACTTTTCTCTTGCAAATACAAGACATAACAATGAATGGGATGCTAACGCAAATAGCTGTTAGCTTGTGGCAAACACACAAAACAAAGGCCAACATGACATGCCATAGACTTCACTTTTGGTGAAAGGAAAACTAGGTAACACTTTCTTTTTGGTAGTCCTGCTTAGACATTCTGTTGACTATAAGTAGCTTTACATCTGCACATGCACTCTGTATGCATTGTCTCTAGCATTTCTAGCATGTCTCTTCCCAGACATTTCATAACCAGACAAACCTCAATTCAGCACAATCAATGGACGAAAGTTCAAAAGTCAAGTCAATCATGGCAAATGACGCCAACAGTGGTGATATTCTCAAATGACGAAACCCAATAAAGTGTCTTTTGCCATCTGTTGGTGCAATGTGCATTGGTCTCCCTACTGAAAAAAAACAGCTTAAACCAGCCTAGGCTGGTTGGCTGTTTTAGCTGGTTGACCAGGCTGGTTTTAGAGGGGTTTTAGCCATTTCCAGGCTGGTTTCCAGCCATTTCCAGCCTGGTCTTAGCTGGTCAGACTAGGAGATGACCAGCTAAAACATGCTTGACTAACCTAGCCAGGCTGGGAGCCCAGCCAAAAACAGCTATGTCCAGCTTAAACCAGGCTGGTCAAGCTGGTTTTAGCAGGATTTAGCTGGTCATTTTTCAGCCTGACCAGCTAAGACCAGGCTGGAAATGGCTGGAAGACCAAAACCCCTCTAAAACCAGCCTGGTCGACCAGCTAAAACCAGCCAACCAGCCTAGGCTGGTTAAAGCTGGATTTTTCAGCAGGGTACCAGGCAATACACTTTTTTACATAGTAGTCAAATGTGAGCTAGCTCAAAACAATTTAGACCACATATACACGTTTAATTAGTTTCATCCACTTCATCCAAAGGATTAGTTCACTCAAAAATGTAAAAAGTACCTTATTAGATACTCACATTTATTAATTTTTCACTACAGTGGTTAAACTGTAATCATATAAAGCTCAAAAAAACATTTTGTGTGCCAAAAAGTCATTTGTTTGCATGCGTCGCATCAGATCAGTGTGCATGTTTACAACCAGCAATTTGACACTAGTGTACTGATGACTCTAATATAAATAAGGGGAGCAAATATAGACAGAGAGTCATATTTACTAATTTTATTATTATTATTTTTTTTTTTTTGATGCACAAAACTGTTCTTGGAGCTTCGTATAATCATAGTGGTAGCCACATATAATGTTTTGACAATGTTTTTGACTCATTTTCTAGACTTTGAAAGATTCATTACTGTCGATGGAGGTTCAGAATCTCAGAAAGCTCCCATATTTCATCTAAAACAGGGGTGCCCAAACTCGGTCCTGGAGGGCCGGTGTCCTGCATATTTTAGTTCCAACCCCAATTAAACACGCCTGAACTAGCTAATCAAGCTCTTTCTAGATTTACTAAAACTTCCAGGCAAGAGTGTGGAAGGAAGTTGGAGCTAAACTATGCAGGACGCCAGCCCTCCAGGATACCCCTGATCTAAAATAACATCTCATGGGATTGGAAGGACATAAATGTGAGTAATTAATCACAGAAATTTCATTTTTGGGTGAAGTAATCCTTTAATGGCAGATAATGACTTGTATGTAACGTTGCAAGTTCACACCAACTTATTAATCCTAACTCTAACCTAAAAATTATCTAAATATTCTACTGGAAAATGTCTGTATGTAACAAATAGTTGCAGACTTTCTAATCCCTCTAATCCCAACCATAACTGTAAATTATTCCCAAAATAATTTATAATTATAAAGGAAATAATAAATAATTATCATGTAGAAGTGCATAAACCTAACCGTAAGCCTAAATTTAACAAACTTTAAATGCATCCCTTAATTTTGATTGGCTGATTGGAATGTAGTTCCAGGATCAACAAAGATGTTAATCCAGGAACATGTCCAATTTAGGGCAGGTTAGGGCAGAGATCCCCTTCAATCATTCACTCCAAGTCCACTAGTCAATATCGGACATAATGTCTCCTTTGCATTTGTAACTGAGATGTTTTCCATCGGACGATCACTTCGAGATCTGTAGGATATCGACTAAAGGATTCACTAATCGATATCCATCATAAAGCAATCAACTGAAGAGGAACAAGGCTTACATTCATGGCTGAGATGTTATAGTCCTGCAGGTTTTAGCTCCAACTTGCCTCAACACATCTGCATAGATGTTTCTAGAAAGCCTAGTAAGAGCTTGATTAGCTAGCCCAGGTTGGTCTGATTGGTGTTGGAACTAAACTTTGCAGGACACTGGCTCTCTAGGACCGAGTTTGGGACCTCTGGTTTAAAGTGTAACCAATTGTTTTAGTTTTGGATATAACAAGGCTTTCCAATCCACTAGACTGGAAACATGAAGGCCAAAACCCTTTGTGTTTGAACTCTCTATTTTAGATGTAACAAAGCTTTGCAAGCCACTGGATTGACAAAATAACAGCAGAATCTTAAATCAAAACATTTAAGCATTTTTTTTTGTTATTTACAAGCCCGTTTATTTCTACCTCATGCTAGTTTTATTTGTCATTAACTAAGCTGAACAATGCATGCAGACGGCCCTGAAGCTGGACTATAAATCCAGTTTTACTTTACTCTCCTGTTCTCAAACGAACAGATGTTGTCTTCATCATAATAACACACCTCACTCTTCAATCACTGAAAACAGCTTTACCTCAAAAGATTCCTCATCCAGGATCCTGGTGCCAAAAACGGTGATACCCTTGGTGTCGATACTGGCATGGTCACTCCTGCCCAATGGCTTGGTCAGCTTCTTCTTACAGTCGACAACAATAGTCACTGTCTTCTTCTCAACGCTGATGCCTACGCGATGCCACCTGCGATTAAACCGGAAGAACAGATGATTACAAACCCAACAAACAGTTAAAGGCCGCCACACGTGAGACGAGCCTTACTTTAAAACCTCAGACAATTTGCCTCCATTCTTGAGATATAACATTCCTGTGTGGACCACATTCCAGCATTCAAACTTTGGCCTTGTTTAACACTGGATTAAACTCATTAAACTCTCGACCAAATCCCCCCTGTGAGTTGTTCAGCATGACAGACACCGTGAACATTGTGGAAAGTGCGTGTCAGGAAGGTACGGCAGAGAAACCGAACTGTAGAGTCAAAACATTGGGAAAAAAAAGAAGGTGAACAGTTGGACGGGTTTGCGGTATGAAGCCACAGTGAGTTTTCAAAGGGGTATCAATAGCACCCAGGAGGGTGATCAATTTCCCATAATCCACTTTGTTAGGAAGAAAAACCTTTATTCTGGCTTGTGGCTTTAAAGCACTTGGCAGAGTTGAATCGGGACAGGCTTTACTGTGTCAAGAAACCAACTTCTTGGATAATGTAACAGCTAACGAAATAAAAAAGATGCAATTTACATACCCTAGTTAGGAGCGATTAGGAGGATGATTGATGTGTAATGGTTTAAAACCACAATGTCGTACTTCACGCCTTTAGGCGTTAAAACATCCTGGGAATATTCTAGAGCTTTAGTTAATTCTTGGACTTGCCAAACACAATGATTTAAAGTCACACACATTTTCACACTTAAAAAATTATCCGTTTTCCCTCAGGACACACAGTGGCGTAATTCATCTTTGCATAAAGTATGTCAGCAACATAATGTAGCATTTTCACAGCGTGGTCAAGCAATTTATTTTAACACAAATGCATTTCAGAATCTTGATTGCACATGCATCATGGCCTAATATGATAAAAAAAGACCCCTATTTTAAATGTCACTAAAGATGATAAACCACAAAGGTTGGATGAAAGCTATTTTATAATGCTGATGGTTAATCCGTTTAGCTTTGCAAATTATTTATACAAAGCCACTTGTACCCATAATTCTTCAGGCACGAGGGAATTGGAATGACAGAATTAGCCTAATCAAGGTGCATTTAACCTGAAATCCCCGTCAGAAACATAAGCTCTATAATCACTCATGAAAATATTGCTGTTTATGCTGCAAAAAAAACACCTCACTGAACCAATACCTACAATAAAGCCTCTTAAAACCTAAAACAAAACACTTCCATTAAAATACTTTTGTGTTGTAAATTAATTTTAGCACTTGGGCATTTCAGGGCAATAATAACATGTTTTAAATACACTATCACTAATATCTAGAAGCATGCATTAAAAAAAATATTCATTGAATTTACTCACTTCTTTTAAGGCAAGTGGTTGTAAACAATTTATATGGGCTGAAATAAAACAAGAAATTAAATTTAGTAATGCTCTACTTAATTTGTTTGTTTAAATTCAGCAACAATTTACAATAAACTATTTTTTTCAGTGCGCTTTTACCACTTTATATCTCATAACCATGATTTGAAGACTTTACAAATTATTGTGTGGCATGTTGTGGCCTTTTCCAACATCTGTGACGATTCATCTCACAATCTTATAATTATGACTTTTTTGTGTGAATGTGACTTACATTGTCATTGCAAGGCATTGAGCCATTCACAAGAAATAGTCCCAATTACAAGTCACACTGTGGAATATTAAAGTATGAGAAATAAAATCACAATTATGCGATTAGACGTCACATTGTGTAAAACATACAATTGGGATTTTTCTGCCTCATAACTGTGAAACATGGATATTGGAAAATATGGATTTTTATGTGTTTTATATCTTTTAATTGTGACTACGGCATTCATTCATTCATTTATTCATTTTTCTATAGGGTGTTTTCACATCTGTGGTTCGGTTCATTTAGTGCGGACCAAGGGCAGCGAATGATACATTGTAGTATTTTTCTGCCATTTTTTGGGTCCTTTTCACACCACACTAAATGCTTTGGTTCAAACCGGTTAAAAATGCATGTGACAAAATCCACATTACTGATTGGCTAAATGTTATTAAACGTATTTCCTAAACTGATTTTTGATTGGTTAGAATTAATGTGCGGGAAATTGCCAATGAAACTCCTTCAAGTAAACAAACCGGCAGACACAAAATGTCCTTTATACTATGGAGGGACGACTGTGCTGGCTACTAGTATACTAGTTTGTATCCATCACTTTAGACAAACTACATTTCGAAAATGAAGGGCAGCTACGGCTGGAAAACAATGTTGTAATGCATTGCAAACGGTGAAGGCGCATCGCAAGCCACTTTAGGAGAAGGTGTGAATTAATATAGCTAAACCGCAGCATGGTCATCTTCCGGAAATATTACCAACAGTCCATCAGGTAATGTTTTTTCTTTTGTCTCTCTCTCTCTCTCTTTCTCTCTCTCTGTTTAAAATAGTTGGTAAAGCACTGTCAACAAAAATTTTTCCTCCACATTCCATGATGCACAGCGCATTGGACTTTGGCAGCTGGATTAGTCCAAAAAGGTGCAGTACTTTTTAATGCTGGGTCTGTTATAGTTTGGATCATGTTCTCACCATAACCGAACCGCTCCAGGGTTCATTTGAAAGCATATCAAGACTACCTCTTCTCTTGTAAAAACAACCTTAGTCCATTCAACTCAAAAAAGCTCTGCAGCAAGTTGCCTTACAATTTTGAGGTTTTATTTTTTACAGTGCAACCCACTAGGGACAATTTAGTATACCCAATTCACCTATACCACATGTCTTTGGACTGTGGGGGAAACTGGAGCACCCTGAGAAAACCCACGCTAACACAGGGAGAACATGCAAACTCAACTCAGGACCAGCCAGGACTCGAACCAGCAACCTTCTTGCTGTGAGGTGACAGTGCTATCGAAAGACCATTTCATAAATACTAAGACAAATTCCCAAAAAATTTATTTTATTTTACAATTTGACTTTTTTCCTTGTGAATTGGCCTATTGATCCTATATAATATGTAACTATAAAGTTCAGCTTTTCAATTCAATTCAGCTTTATTTGTATAGCGCTTTTACAATGTAGATTGTGTCAAAGCAGCTTCACATAAATGGTCATAGTAACTGGAACAGTGTGGTTCATCCTGGTTCATCCATATAAAGTCACAAAATGTGACTTTTTATCACATAATCGTGAATGTCTTCCAACTGTGACTATATTTCTCACAAACTGATTTTTGTCTCATAACTGTGATGTTTTTTATTTATGATATTTTCAAATTTTCCTCACAATTACCTTTTTAGTTTGCACTTCATGAGGCTTCCATAAATATCAATTCCTGTTGGTAAGAGTTTCCTGATGATGTAATTCAAAAGTTTAATTTCTGAGGTCAAGCGTCTACCACAATGGGTCCAACTTTCCATCTTTCTAAAAATAACAGAACTCTAAAGGATCACTGCTAAGGTCAGATCACCTACGGCCCTGTCAGCTCCACTTCATCAATCCAGGATCTCAGTGAGATCTCCTCTGGCTGAAGAAGCCACACGTAACTAACTGAATCATCTACTTGTCAACTAAAACGGTCCCATAAATGTCTTTTCTACACATGTAATGGCTCAGGACCACGGTTTAAAACTCTAGACTGGCAACAAAAATGACTTCCTGCTGTTAAGGTCAATGACTGACCTCCATCTGACCCTGTCTACTCTTTCAGGATGAACCTAAAGCTAAACAGGTCCAAAAAGCCACTGTACTAGGCTGCTCTACAAAGGCAAAGTGCAGCACCTATAAAAAATGTCTTTAAAGAAATATACTTTCTAAAAGATTTTAAAAGTCCACTACAGTTAAACTGTTGAGTTTTACCATATTGAATTCATTCAGCCGATCTACGGGTCTGGCTGGAGTACTTTTTAGCTTAGCTTAGCTTAGCATAAATCTTTAAATCTGATTAGATCATTAGCATCTTGCTTAAAAATAAAAAGAATAAAAAAAGACATTTAATACTTTTGCAAACTTTAAGTTTGACTCCTCTGTAGGTACATTGCTTATAAGGACCAACAGAAAGTTGCAATTTTTTGGGCTGATATGGCTAGAAACTATGCTGGCATTCCAGCATAATAATCAAGGAAATTTGCTGCCATACCATGACTGAAGCAGGCGCAATGATATTGCACAGTGTTATTACCTAGTTACCTAGCTGGGAACTATTTTTAAGCTCTGCATAATATCATTGTGCCTGCTACAGCAGCAAATTATCTTGATTATTACGCCGGATTGAGAGTATAGTTCATGCAGATTAACTCCCCAACAAAAATCATTTCAGTCAATCTAAATGTATGAATTCTTTTAAAAATAGATCTATTCAACCCTTTAACTGCCTGCTCGACCAAATGGACTGACCATACCTTATTGAGAGGAGTACCTAACTTAACTAAACCTGATTGAGCCACCTTTACCGCTTGGTTGAAGTATATGATGCCGAAAATTCCACTAGTTGTCACTAACTCAATCAACAGCACTCGTCACAACATTGCTTCTACCATTGAAATCAAAAACAAGGAAATCACTCCTGACAAGTGAACTGGTTTTCGTGAAAAATTGCAAGGTAAGCCTATTATTTTGACATATTACCCTCTAAGAGCCCTAACTTTACAAAGTTATGTTGCTTGGTGCCATGAAAAATATTAAGTGTGTTTGCAATAATGTTTCAAAAACAAAAAAAAGGGTAGAAAAACAGAACTAAGGATTTCATTTCATGCATTTCTGCAGTCTGAAAGAACTGTTTGCTGAGAAATATCAACTTTTGATCATTCACAGAATAAATATGACACAGCTTGTTATTTATTCATGAATATACTGAGATAATTTCTTAAGTATATATTTTTTTCGACACTTTTAGGGTATTTTTGGAGTAAATATAGTGAATTCTTAGAACTCATGCGTGGAAATCACAATTTTCAAAGATGATTATCTCTTAAATGGCAAATGCTGGTGCACTAACATTAGCACAAGTCATCTATGGCAATATTTCACCCTGGACCAAACCATAAGTGTAATTTTTTGGAAACTGAGACTTAAGCGTTACCCCAAAGCTGATTAAATAAGCTTGTTTGTTAGGATTGGACACTATTTGACTGAGATGCAACTACTATATATAAAAATCTCAAAACTGAGGGTTCAAAAACTCTAAATCTTGAAGAAATCATCTTTAATGTAAAAATTAAGTTTTTAGCAATGCATAATACTAATCTAAAATTAAGTTTTGCTATATTTACAGTAGGGAATTTACTAAACGTCTTTATGGAACATCATATTCTGATGCATAAAAGAAAAATGAATAATTTTGTCCCAAAAAAAAAAATTAATCATTCTTTAATAAAAAGAAAATGTATAAATTACCATGCCACACGAAACTAGTTTTGTCCAGGCTAACATATATATTGCAGAAGAATGAAATATCTCCGTTTTTTAAAGTCATGCACCCCTAGATTCAGCCCTGCACTGTACATTGATCTGTGTGCTCTGTGACTTACTTTCCGTCGGCCAGATTGAGAGCGCGGAACAGAGGGTAATCCTCCGGGGCAGGTTTGCCCTCCTGATCCTCGTACAGGAAGACAGGTGAACGGCCCACCTCCACGCCCAGCTGCTGGACGCCTTTCTCATTGTAGATGGACAGGAGGAAGGACTGGATCCCTGCTTTGGGCTTGATCGTGGTTAGGATGGAGAAGTCTTCAGGGAAAACGCCATCTAGGAAAACAGCAGACACACAGCACCTTCACTGATGGGTATTTATTTATATGTCTGCTTGTTTTTGAGGTGCTTATAAAGAAGATATTGATTTGTTGTAATTGGGAGCAACTTTTGGGGACATTTGTATGTTTTGTCTTAAAACATGTAAAACTCCAGCCATATGCTTTCCAAAAGCTTTGGGCAAAGAGAAGCTGAACTCTCCTACTGTATAAAATCAGTATACATGTGAATTTAGAATTATTCGCCCCCCTATTAATTTTTTTTTAAAGTTATGTTTAAAAGAAAAAAAAATTTCCAACACATTTCTAAACAGAATAGTTTTAATAACTCATTTTTAATAACTGATTTCTTTTATCTTTGCCATGATAAAAGTATATAATACTTTACTAGATATTTTTCAAGACACTAGTATTCAGCTTAAATTGACATTTAAAGGATTAAGGTTAGCTTGTTCTGTAGACAATAGAAAAAATATTTTGCTTAAGCCTAATAATGTTGACCTTAAAATTGTTTTTAAAAAATGTAAAACTGCTTCTATTCTAGCGGAAATAAAACAAATAAGACATTCACTAGAAGAAATAATATTATAGGAAATACTGTGAAAAATCCCTTGCATTGGTAAGCATTATTTGGGAAATATTTATTTATTTATAAGGGAGGGCTAACAATTTTGACTTAAACTGTATATATTACTACAGTATATAACTATATAGAGAGTATTTCTGTTTATCACATCTAATATGGATGCACTTGTAATGCATCTACATGTAACATAAACTTGACCGTACAAAAGTAAAACCACAGATTTTCGATAAATGAGTTATTTTTAAAAGAATTTTTAATGTTTTTTTTTTTTTTAATTGTGCTGTTATATTTATATTTTAAATTATTCATTATTTTAAATTTGGATGGAATGATAACAGTTTTAAAATCTATAAATTTATTTTAGGGTGAATATTATTAGCCTTCTTAAGAGATTTTGTTTTTGATTAGCTATAGGACAAACTACTAACTTTTCCAAAATAACCTAACTTGCCTTGTAACTCTAATTAAGCCTTTACATTGCATTTCAGACTGAATACTTTTGTGTTACAAAATAACCAATTAAATAGTGTGTACTGTTATCTTAACAAAGACAAAAAAAAAAAAAAAGAGTTATTAGAAAAGTAATTATTAAATTAACTATTTCAAATTTGGTTTAAAAAAATCGCAAGCACTCAACAAATAATTTCTATAATTAGGCTAATAATTGTATAAATATACTGTATATTTTTCTGTATTATTTCTGTAATTTATTTTTTTACCAATAATTTAAAAGCTAAAACGTTTCTAAATAATACTTGCATATTTTTATAGTTTTTTTTATTTCTTTATTTGATCAATTTACTTAAGTCATTTGTTTTCAGTTGTATTTTAAAAATCAGTTTGAATTAATTCCTTCAGTTATCCATCTTTCAATTTTCCATGTTCTAAGTTTAAAACTTCAAAGTGCATGTGCCTTATTAGCTTTTTAAAATGCCATTAATAGCTAAAGAAGATAAATGAATTACAATATTTGGTAACACTTTACAATAAGGTTCATTAGATAATGCATTTACTAACATAACTTAATCATGAGCAACACATGTACAGCATTTACGTATTAATCATAATTGATCATTTACTAATGCATTATTAACATCCAAGTCCATGCTTGTTAACATTAGTTAATGCACCATGAGTTAACATGAACTAACAATGAACTACTGTATTTTCATTAACTAACGATAACTAAGATGAACAAATACAGTAGTAAATGTATGGTTTATTGTTTGTTCATCTTAGTAATAATGCATAATTAACATTAACTAATGAACCTTATTGTAAAGTGTGACCCAATATTTTGTGACATTTTACTCATTTTACAAGCCATAATCCTTTAAACTGAGCTTAAAAAAAGCAGATGCAATAGATTTGCTAATAAACACCAGATATGTGACATTATCCAGGCTGTAAAAATATTAACAAGTAATAAAGACCATATTAAAAAAACAACAACATCTGCACTATTATAATCACATGCTAATTGCATAATGCAGGGGTTTCCTGGAGGGTCGGTATCCTGCATAGTTAAGCTCCAACATCCATCAACACACCTCCCTGAAGTTTTTAGTATACCTAGATAGAGCTTGATTAGCTGGTTCAGGTGTGTTTAATTGGGATTAGAACTTAAATATGCAGGACACTAGCCCGCCAGAACCAAATTTGGACACCCCTGGCATCATGCATCTTGAAGGTATCAGATACATTCAGATAACTGGGAATGTAATGCACAAGCTGAATGCTACATTTGTATGAATGGTCATTAGTTGTTTTTTGCACATAAAAGTGCAGCATGAACATTCTGCTAAACATCTTTTTTTTTGCATTTCCCTAACGAAAGAAGTCATAAGGGTGATTATTTTATTTGTGGGTGAACTTTCTCTTTAAAACCATTTGTTCATTTCTTATGCAACTAAGCAGACGAGCCATGCTGCGGTCAAGAGATTTCAGCCAAGTTCTCCGAGCGCTTAACAATACAAGCGTCTGAGTGAAACATGGCCCCGCACAATCAGGGATGGCATCTCCTGTCAAAAGCCTTGGCAACCGTAACAAAGGGCACATTTAAACGCAGCTGAACGTAGGCAGGATATGGAGACATGTTCGTGGGGTTCAGCTTACCTGGGAAAAGCTGCTTGGTCGGGGCACTGAGCTGGGCATTCTTGCTGATTTTGTAGGCCGCGTCTGGCTGTGATGCTCTTCGGTTTGTGCAGAATCCTGACGTTTTCTCTACTCCTTCTGGGACAGTGGGAAATTCTAATACTTTTAAGACATCCACGGGTTCTGCTGAACAGAGTAGAAAAGACATGCAAAATGTCAGCAGATAAATAATAGTGGGAAATACATTAGAAATATTGTTATTTACAAATGTTTAGCAAATGATTAACGTTATTATATTGCAGTTAACTTCAGCTTCAACAGAATGACATTCTAACATCCACACTTACAATAACAAAAAAAAAAAAAAAAAAAAAACATTGGAATGAATTATATTATTCATTCATTCATTCATTTTCCTTCAGCTTAGTCTTTATTTATCAGCAGTCGCCACAGCGGAATGAACCGCCAACTACTCCAAAATATGTTTTAAACAGTGGATTCCCTTCCAGCTGCAACCCAGTACTGGGAAACACTCATTCACACACATACACCACGGACAGTTTAGCCTTCCCTATTTACCTATACCACATGCCTTTCGACTGTGGGGGAAACCGGAGCACCCGGAAGAAACCCACATGAACATGCAAACTCCACTCAGAAATAGCAACTGGCCCAGCCGCGACTCGAACCAGCAACCTTCTTTCTGTGAGGTGATATTGCTAACCACTGAACCACCATGATGCCCCCTATATTACATTATATTATATTATATTATATTATATTATATTATATTATATTATATTATATTATATTATATTATATTATATTATATTATATTATAGTATATTATATTATATTATATTATATTATATTATATTATATTATATTATAATATATTATAAATTAAATCAAACATATGATAAAGTTACTAACATTAAACACTATTTAATGTACAGTAATAAAGACTAAAATTATAAATTAATTTAAAATAAAAAACAAAAAATTAAATAATTTAATGTACATTTTATTATAATATTTTGTTATAATAACAACATATTGATATTAACATTTTCAAACAATCAAGTAAAGAAACTATTCAGAACACAATAACTAATACAAAGTATTTAATGTCAAATCAGCACTTTTATATATATATATATATATAAATATATATATATTATTAATACAATAACCCTTTAACTAGCACCACTCGAAAGGAATATTTTTGGCCCAGATCTTGGATTGAATAATATACTGACACAAATATTATGATAACACATGATAATGATAACATATGGATAAAAGGTCAACCAGGTGGTTATAATGCCTGCTAAAGGGTTACGTATATAATAACAATAATTATTCATTCATTCATTTTCTTTTCGCCTTAGTCCCATTATTAATCTGGGGTCGCCACAGCGGAATTAACCGCCAACTTATCCAGCATATGTTTTATGCAGCGGATGCCATTCCAGCTGCTACCCATCTCAGGGAAACATCCATAAATACTCATTCACTAGGGACAATTTAGCCTACCTGTACCTGTACCACATGTCTTTGGACTGTGGGGAAAACCTGAGCACCTGGAGGAAACCCACGCGAACGTGGGGAGACCATGCAATCTCCACAATGAAATGCCAACTGACCCAGCCGAGGCTCGAAGCAGTGACCTAATTGCTGTGAGGTGACAGCACTATCTACTGCACCACCGCGTCACCTGTAACTAGAATTAATAATATATTAATATATTATTACTATACAATATTATTCATATTATAATAATATTGCCTAATAATATGCCCTTTTTTCTTTTACTTCATAGTATATCTATACATTAAACATGTTTGCAGCTTGTATTCTAAACTAAGCTAATCATTAAAATTACCATAAATTAAAGTTACCATAAAATTACCTGTAAACCCTGTTTAATTATTCACAACTGCAAAGAAGAGACCAATATGGGGTATTAAATCACTATATGAGCAAACTCAACCCAGCGCTCTTCATTCCTATGAGATTTGACCTTTGTAAAAATGTCAGATTCCCTCTTCAACCCCTTGAAAGTTACTTCAGCAACAGCTGGGTCAAATAAGCTTGAACAAACGGTTTCATTATGGTTAACGAAGCAAGATCTAAGATAACCGCTCACCCTGGATCACCCTGAAACTTCCCTGAGAGTCAACTTAGAAAGCAGCACCCTTGAGAGGACTTTCTTCATGATTCACTGCAAATTTAGGGCACATGTTTAGCATCTGGGTGTTATCCAGACTCTACCAACAGTGCCATATGTGTCTTCAGGCCTGGAGTGAATCTTTGGCATCTACCACATAAAACCGAACGCTCAGACCGTCAACAACAAAGGCAGACTATACGTCACAAAAGCACAAATTCATCTGAGGGAGGTCTAAAAAAAAAAAAAGCCTGTAATAAAGACGCAGAGGCTTTCCCGCTGCTGAGAAAGCATTTACCACCCCATTTAAAACTGTGAAAAGCGAAGGCGACACACTATTCTTCTACCGGTTCTTTGTGTTGAGCGCAGTGATCCCCCATTATCCCTCAATCCCAGCTTTACGCTAAACATACAAGATAGACATAAAGGAAAAAACTGCAAACTTAAACTGATGCTCTGCATAACCTCAAGCCTCACACACTCCAGATGTTAGCCTGAGATTGACCTTCTCCCATGCAAACGCCAAAGAAAAACGTCAATATTCAGAAACCTTTCGCAAAACCAACTGTGGATTGGCTGTCATTAGAAAAGCGCAGCTGATGGCCTGGTGTGATTTTTAACCAGACCGCTGTGCAAACACGCATGCTGATCTGTTGCGCTGTCATTCTTTGCATTAGACAGGCTAGTGTGTGTGAGAAAAGGATGATTAGACATCGAGTGTGAATGTGGAGGGAGGGGCTAACTGAGTTTATGAGATCATAAACTTGCCATTAATATTCTATTGGACCTCCCAAAAAAGTGGGAGGAGCTTGTTTTACTGAGAGTTTTATCATTAGAATAAATCATTTCATTAGGAAATTCACTTATGTTTAGAGGATGACACAAATGTAGAGTTTAAATTGCATTTTTCTAATTACTGTCTTCTTATTTGGCTCCTTTTGAATGTTTAGGGGGATATCAGGTAAAAATGCTGGAGACCGTTTTACCTGCTGCTCCTTGAGACTCCAATAATGAATTC